TCTCCCTTCCTCCTCCTCTACCTCCCTCCTCCCTCCCTCCCTTCTCCTCCCTTCCTCCGTCCCTCTTCCTTCCTTCGTTCATTCGTTCCTTCTTTTCCTTCTCCTCCTCCTCCTCCCTTCCTCCCTCCCTCTTCCTTCCTTCCTTCCTTCCTTCCTTCCTTCCTTCCTTCCTTCCTTCCTTCCTTCCTCCTCCTCCTCCTCCTCCTCCTCCTCCTCCTCCTCCTCCTAACTTTGTTGCCCTAAGTGTTGTTCATTCTGGTCCATTCCCTGCTTCCTGGGATAGGATCCTTCTCCAATTTTATCGGGGAGTCTAACCTTTCCCGCAGCATCACCACTTTTCCTGTGTTGTGTCCAATGCCACCATGGTGTCTCACTGGAAGTATCATCCTAAGGTTCCCAATTCCAGAAGCTTCAGATTCTAGAAACAGGACCTCCACGTTTGGGAAGAGCTGGAAGCCTGCTGAGAAGCTGGCCAAAAAACCAACAAACCTAGTTTGCTGAATGTATCAGGGAGGATCGATCAGAGCTCAACATCCGGTAGATCTTTCTAGTTTCAGAAACTAAGCGGGGCCAGGACTGGTTAATATTTGCATGGGAGGCAAGAAACTACCAGGAAGCCACAGAATTCAGTTATACATGAGAAAAAGTGAACACAGATAGATGGTAAATGGCACAGAACGTCTTTGCTGTTATCAAGAAAAGAAGAGAACACATAGGAAATATAATATTTTTAAAAAATATATCTTAAAACATAAATTTACTTTATTTCAACTCTTAGAACATCGTTTCTTTTCCAAATTTCCTCCTCTCTTGAAGGGCTCCAATCCAAGTTCTCTTCTCCCATCCTTTAGAAAAACAAAAACAAAAGCCGATAATACAATTGGGAAAAGTATAGGACCACCATTGAGCCCCTTCAAATTTCCGTGGCTAAGCAAGACAGTTGTTCGTCCCATTTTACAATTTTTCCTGTCGTTAAGTGAATCACGGCAGTTGTTAAGTTGGTAACACGGCTGTGAAGTGAACCTTTGCTTCCCCATTTGTCAGATGGCCGCCAAAGAGGATGACATGACCTCAGGGCACTGCGACCGTCGTAACTATGAGTCAGTGGATGGAGAATCTCCACTGACATCAGCCTCAGATTACATCTCAAGACCGGCCTCTGACCGGCCTCTGAATTTTGTTCAGATGGCCATGGAAATGTTGCAGTGGTCATAAGTCTGAAAAAAAAAAACGGCCCTAAGTCACCTTTTTCGGTAACTTTGAATGGTCCTTAAATGGCCTGTCATAAGTTGAGGATTACCTGTACCCCACTTTTTAAAAAACGTTTCTAAACTCTTTTGCTTCAGGCTGATCAAATTGATATCAAAAGAGTAAAGATCTCCGATAAGGACTGCAGGTGGAACTCTATAAATTTTAAATGCTTTCAGAAGTTTGCACCACCGTATCCCACGCAGCTATTTGATGTTTAGACAAAACAGCAACCTTCTGTCACCATCCTCATCCTCACATTTATTTACTAAGTCTGCATTACTATTACTACTAATCCTCCCATCCTTCCTTTCACCCATCTCTTCCCACTTACGACTGTATGACTGTAACCTTGTCGCTTGCATCCTAACGGTTTTTATTGACTGTTTCCTAGTATGACTTGATTGCTTATTGTACCCTATGATTATTATTGTTATACCTTATGATTTTTGACTCTTAACAGATAACAGATAATCAGAGTTGGAAGGGACCTTGTAGGTCATCTATTCCAACCCCCCACCCAAGCAAGAAACCCTACACCATTTCCGACAAATGGCAGTCCAATCTCTTCTTGAAAATCTCAAGTGATGAAGCTCCCACAACTTCCGAAGGCAACTTCTGTTCCACAGGTTGATTGTTCTCCCTGTCAGAAAGTTTCTCCTTACTTCCAGGTTGAATCTCTCCTTGTTCAGTTTCCATCCATTGTTCCTTGTCTGGACTTGGAGAATAGCTTGACCACCTCCTATCTGTGGCAGCCCCTCAAATATTGGAAGACTGCTATCCTGTCTCCCCTGGTCCTTCTCTTCACTAGACTAGTCAGGCCCAATTCCTGTAACCGTTCTTCATATGCCTTAGTCTCCAATCCCCTAATCATCCTGGTTGCTCTTCTCTGTACTTTTTCTAGAGTCTCAACATCTCTTTTATAGTGTGGTGACCAAAACTGGATGCAGTACTCTAGGTGTGGTCTTACTAAGGCTTTATAGAGTGGTATTAGTACCTCTCTTGATCTCAGTTGTATCCCTCTGTTAATGCAATTTAGGATTGCATTAGCTTTTGGGGCTGCTGCTGCACACTGCAATTCTTGACGAAGATATCTTTTCTTTTTAGGTACACTGAGAGCACTTGCATGCACCATAGACAAATTTCTTGTGTGTCCAATCACACTTGTCCAATAAAGAATTCTACTATTATTTCTATTTCTATTTCTATTTCTATTTCTATTTCTATTTCTATTTCTATGATGATGATGATGATGATGATTATTATTATTATTATTAATTATTATTATTATTATTATTATTATTATTATTATTATTATTATTATTATTATTATTATTAATTATTATTACTATTATTATTACTATTATTATTATTATTACTATTATTATTATTATTATTTATATTGCATCTCTATCTGGAAGCTTCCAGGCAAGGCAAGGACAGATGCTCTGCACCCAATCCTAAAGGCCAACACACTTTGGGGTGGGCGAGGCACCTGCCCATTTTGGAAGGGCGAAAGGGCATGGATGCAGTGGTAGGGATCCACGGGGTCTCCAGATAAGATGGATTACAGCTTCCACCCTCCTCTACCCAACTAACTCTCTTGGGGGAAGCTGAGTTAGGTCAATGCAGTAAGACAGTGGCTAGGATTTGGGGCACTCACACTTTGGAGCTGGATTGGTTTGAAGAAGAAACAGGGTTGCTGAGGATTTGTCTTCATGGGGGTGGTGGTGTTATTTCAGAAGGCAAGGCTGGCAGCCCGATGTCATACATTCCTTTAACCTACAGGTAGACAACACTTGAGGTGGGGGGGGGAGCCTTACGAAGGAACCCCCTTCTTGAGGAATGGGCAATTTATTCAGTTGGAGGCCAGAAAGGGGGAGATAAGCCCCTACTTTTTGCCGGGACCAAAAGTTTTCGTTTTAGCAAAGGAGGAGGGGGGCATCTAGGAGGCCTGGTGGGAAGAGTCAGGGTCAATTTTGAGCACTTTTTTTGGACCAGCCTGGAATAAGTGCTTTTTGGGGGGGGGATGCAAACTGGGTGTGCAGCGGGGTGGGGGGTCTCCCAAAATATAACAGGGAAGGCTCCCTCGTCACATCTACACCTCCAAGTGGCACCACGGCTCCCCTCCGAGCTGGGTTGGGGTTCATTGGTGATGATTTGGGGGGGGGAAAGGCAAGCGGGGTGGCCCGGCCAGCCATTCCGGTGAGGGGAGCGGGGTCAAAGGAAGGCCAGAGAAGGACGTTTAGGGTTGGGGAGGGGGCTTTCTCCTGCCCCTCTCCTGCCCCTAGGCTGGCCATGGGACTTTCAGGGTCCCCCCTCTGCATGGGCTTAGTCTGCACCCCCCCTCCCCGCTTCTCCATCCCTAAGGACCCCCTTTCTTAAGGGATGGGCAATTTATTCCCTAGGGGGCTGGAAAGGGGGAGATAAGCCCCCTCCCCCCACTTTCTGGTCAGGCTGAAAGTTTTCATTTTAGCAAGGGGGGGGGACATCTATGAGGCCCAGTGAGGAGAGTCAGGGTCCATTTTGAGCCCTTTTTTTTTGGACCCGCCTGGAAGAAGCACTTTTGGGGGGGTTGCAAACTGGGCGGGGCAGGGAGTCTCCCAAAGGGGGAGAGAAGCCCCCCCCACTTTTTTGGCTGGGATGAAAAGTTTTCATTTTAGCAAAGTTTGGGGGGGGGGAGGAGAATCTAGGAGGCCGGGTGGGGAGAGTCAGGGTCAATTTTGAGCCCTTTTTGGAATGAGCACTTTTTTGGGGGGGGGGACTGCAAATTGGGCGGGCGGGGGGAGGTGTCTACTTTTTTTGGGGGGGCTGCAAATTGGGCGGGCAGGGGGTGGGGGGGTCTTCGTCCGCGGAGGCGGCGGGAGGGGCCCCGATCCGTCCCGACGACCCCCCCCCCCCCCCCCCCCCCCCCCCCCCCCCCCCCCCCCCCCCCCACGCCCCCCGTCCCCCCCCGCGGCGGTGTTGAGCGCGCCCCCCGCTGGGGCTGTGATCTGCAGTCCTCCTCGCCTTTGTTTGTTCAAGCCATCGAGCCCTCCGTTCGGCTCCGGCCGATGCCGGAGCCTATAAAACCCGGCGGGTCTCGGGGCTGGTCCAGAAGGGGGGGGGTGGGCGGCGGCGAGTCGCTCCGGGATCCGCGATCGCCTCGTCGCGATGAGCCTCTTGGGCGCCCAGCTGGTGCTGCTGCTGTTGCTGCTGCTGGTGGTGGTGCCGCCGCCCGCCGCCCTCGCGTGGCCGGGCCCGGGGTCGCCCGTGGGACCCGCCAAGACCCTCCTGCTCATCCAGCCCGAGTCGACGGAGCCGCTGCCTGCCAAGGGCGCGCAAGGTAGGAAGCCTCCCAAAGCGCAGGAGCCGGGGAGTTTCCTTTTTTTTTTTCGCGGGCGGGGATTTTTTTTTTTTTTAACGAAAGAGTTCGAAGGGACCCTGGGAGGTCATCGAGTCCAACCCCCCTGCTCCAAGCAGGAGAGACCCTCTGCCGTTCCACAACAAGGGGGTTGCCCAATTCTTTCTTTCTCCCTCCCCCACTTTCTTCTCTACACTTCTCCCTCCCCTATTTTTCCCCCTATAATTTGCTTTTATAAACTAATAAAAACTTGGAATTTTTATTAGTTTATAAAAGCAAATCATAGGGGAAAAAATAGGGGAGGGAAAAGGAGAGAAAAGAATACAAGATAGATTGAGAGCCTGAGATAGAAAGGACCTTGGAGTTTTTTTTCTAGTCCAACCCCGTTTCAAGCAAGAAACCCTCTATCATTCCAGACAAATGTGTCTGGCCAACCTCTTCTTCAAAACCTGCAGTGTTGGAGCAGCCACCGTTTCTGGTGGCAAGCAGTTCCACTGGTTCATTGTTCTCTCACTGTTTAGGAAGTGTCTCCTTCATTCCAAGTTTGCTTCTCTCCTAGATTGGTTCCCATACATGGCTTCTTTGTCCTGCCCTTCAGGTGCTTTTGGAGGATAGCTTGACACCCCCCTCCCCTCTTCTATGGGGCAGCCCCCTCCAGTATGGAAGAGCCTGCTACCGTGTCACCCACGGTCTTTCTTCTCCAAGGGCGGATCCGGGCCGCTCTCTTGGCGCGGCTGGCTGGATCCCTCCGTCTCCAGCTGGCTTCGACGCCCTTGAGCGCTTTCCCGACCGCTGCGCTCCATCCGTTCCGCAGCCACGTCGGGGAAAGGGCCCGACGCGTGTGGGGCTGGGGGGTGGAGGGGGGTGGAAACTCGGCTCTCACCCACCTCTCCGGACCCCCCACCAGGTCCTTGGAGCCCCGCCAATCCCCAATTATGGGCCGGTGGTCGCAGAGGCGCCGAGCGTGCGTTGGAAGGGCGGGCGCAGTGCCTTCGGGGAACCGCGGGAGCTGGGAGTTGGAAGGGACCTTGGAGGTCTTCTAGTCCACCCCTCCGCTCAAGCAGGAGGACCCTCTACCATTCCGGACTAATGTCGAATCGGAGGTCTCCAAAGCACCAAGGGGGCAGGACAAGAAATAACTTGGGGAAGATGGCTACTTAAAGAGAGATCCGACCTAGAAATAAGGGATAAAAATTCCTAACAGTTCAAACATTTCATCCGTGGGACGACTTGCCTCTAGAAGTTGGGGCTGCTCCAAACACTAGTGGCTTTTAAAAGAAGAGATTGCACCACCGTTTGTCTTCAATGTATAGGGTTTCCTGCTTGAGCAGAGGGATGGACTAGAGGACCTTGAAGGCCCCTTCCAACTCTGCTGTTCTGTATATTCTGCTCGGCAGCGCGACCCTCTCCCGTCCTTTCCCACCTGACGGCGTGGTTTCTGAACGTGTGAAGAACTCCGAGGAGGCGCAGCCACACTTTCCGAGTTCTGTTAGATCTGCCGTTTAGGGGGAAAGGGACAGGGACAGATTTTTGGAATTAAAGCGGGAGGGAAGAGACAGATGGGAATGAATCTCCTTCGGTCATTAAAATCAAGTAGGTGAAGGCAGATTCTGGCCCCATTTCCTACTTGCTTGTCTTGGGTATTCACACGTGTCAATTGTTTTTTTTTAGCTTTAGTTTCTTATTTTTTGCTTTGTTCGTGGGAATGATCTTTCATGATGTTACGTGTATCCAGAGGTGAACGCTCCGGCTGCAGAGGTTTAACCTGTTAAATGCACACTTTGGAGTTCGCCCCATATGCTTCATCCTGGACAAAATGAGCCAGTTTCACATTGCATTCTTTGCACAATACAGTCGTTTTATATAAACCAGAGGTCTCCAAACTTGGCAACTTTAAGACTTGTGGACTTCAACTCCCAGAATTCTCCAGCTATGCTGGCTGGAGAATTCTGGGAGTTGAAGTCCACAAGTTTTAAAGTTGCCAAGTTTGGGGACCCCTGATATAAATGCAGAAATGGCTAAGCCTTTAGCTGGTCTGGATAAGTGTGTTGTGTGAATATTGTCTCAAACACTGGTAACCTTGGTTCAAGCATCTTTTGTCCATATGCTTGAATCCCAACTTTAGCAAGGATTTAAAAAAAAAACATTCTCTGTATGGACCATATCTTTTTTTTTTAATCATTGCTGTCACACCTGAAGGCAAGACAAGAAGTAAAGGGCAGAAACTTATCAATGGGAGATCCAACCTAGAACTAAAGAGAAATTTCTTAACAACTAGAACAGGGGTCCCCAAACTTGGCAACTTTAAGACTTGTGCACTTCAACTCCCAGAATTCTCCAGCCAGCTATGCTCCTCCATCACCGGAGAGTTTTAAGAAGACATTGGACAGCTATAGGTCAGAAATGGCAATAGGGTTTTTTGCTTGAGCAAGGGGCTGGACTAGAAGACCTCCAAGGTCCCTTCCAGCTCAGTTTTTTTCTTTTTTTCTTTTTTAACTTTGATAGCAATAACCAAGTTGAAGGGGAAATTCTTGGGGAAATTCTGATTCAAAGGAATGCTTTCTGGGGGGTGGGAAATAAAAGAATAGGGGCTGTAGGATATGGTGATTTGGATCAGCTGAGACCTTGGCCTTAAATAGCTGTGGGGAGGGGCATGAGTGGGATAAGAATAAAGTAGCAAGCAAACTATTTACTAAGTCTGCATTACTATTACTATTAATCCCCCCATCCTTCCTCACCCATCTCGTCCCACTTATGACTGTATGACTGTAACCTTGTTGCTTGTATCCTAACAATTTTTATTGACTGTTTCCTAATATGATTTGATTGCTTATTTGTACCGTATGACTATCTTTAAGTGTTGTACCTGATGATTCTTGACTCTTGACGAATGTCTCTTTTCTTTTTATGTACACTTGAGAACATCTGCACCAAGACAAATTCCTTGTGTGTCAAATCACACTTGGCCAATAAAGAATTCTATCTATCTATCTATCTATCTATCTATCTATCTATCTATCTATCT